GCTTTATAAACTCTTTATGAATGTGTCTTTAACATATCTTTAACATGTCTTTAATGTGTTGCCAACCTTGGTAACCGTTTCAGAAAGGCTCACGATAAGTGAGCTAACACTTAATTAAAGTTCAGTTTGGTGTTTTTATACAAAACAAAGATGTTGAATTTTGTAATAATAATTTCATTATAGGTAAAGTTTCCATTCACAAGTGTAGATGTTTTAAAGTTGCTCCGAGCATTGTGGCGTTTATTAATGACTTTGCAAACTGGAAAAGAGAAGGCGTGAGTAATGTAATACCTGCTTTTATTAAAGGAATAGCTCAAATTACAGGAGCTGAATGGTTTCTAACTGTAGAATAATAACTGTATATCCAGGCTATGATGTCTAATTAAAACGTTGGTCTAACAAACAAACTGCTATGAACTGGAAAAGAGAAGTTTCCTTCAGAGTCTCTGAACTATTTGTGTTACAGCTTTAGGTTCATTTAATGAGGTCTGTTATTTGGAGAATCTCAATAAAGTTAAGAGGAAGGACACAAAGACTTTGGACACACTGCTGCTCTTTAAGAAGGTTCCTGTTTACTGATATGTGTATTTTACGGGCTGATTATGTTCGTTTATGACCTTTCTGAAGACGTTGGGAGTGACGGCTGGTGGGGGCATTGAATGAGTGACGGCTGTTCTGACTCGGGGCTCCGCTGTTGGTAGAAATCTGCTGTGAGGTTTGTGGTTGTGAGTTTCAGTCTGAGCACACTGAACTGTGGGAGAGCGATGCTGGCAGGAAGATTACGATAAAGCAGCAATAACACATAGTGCAGGGTGAGGGCCCCCCGAGAGGTTCCCGACCCCGAGGTAAAGCTGCTGACTCATGGCGGCCCTGCTGAGTCGCGATTTATACGAAATGTTATTGACCACAACCATCACAAGCTGCAGTGAAGGTATTTACTATTATTTTCCATGAAGAAAAGAAGAAGTTCAACGTGTTTCCCAATCTGAGTGAATCATTATGAAACTTACATTTTGTTGATTTGTTTCCATCTTCTGGCTGCAGAGACACAAAAACACCAGAAATAACATTAACATTTATTCACCTTCACATTTATTTACTGGATAATATTTGTTTGTTAGCGACTCGAGTGTCTGTGAACGCTTTACATGACCTCCGTCACGGCCAACTGACCACTGGTGTTAAACATCCTCTGTGCTGTGGGTTTGATGACGTGAGAACGCTCACAGGAACATGATGACTTACCGATGATGACGATTGCGCCTGCTGTGACCAAAGCAATCAGCCCGAACAGAACGCACACCAGAACCACAGTCACAACGCTGCCGCCCTGCTAACAGAAAACACACCGATGGATATCAGACACTGGCTCCTCCATTCATCTTATTGTCCACCTTAAAACAAACCTATCACATAACTCTCTCTGACAGTGTTACGTTAGCTCTCTGAGTGGAGGGAACTACAAATATCTCCCGTTGCCGAGTCGTCTCTAAGGTTCGTCCTATTTACTGGAGCAGTGAACAACGTTTCCATTGCATTAGAACATTATGGGATGGTAATGATTCTTCCAGGTATTAGGAAAAACTTTATATTTTGATTAAGAAACAATGAAATATAAATAACTGTTATAAATGTAAATGTAAATGTAATGTAAAGAATATAAAGTGTTGGCTTCGAGGTGTCCGTATCCAGGTTTGGACCGTGGTGGGACCCGACGAGTTGTTCATCGTTTAGTTTATGAGAAGTGATGAATCCTGTGAAGCACATGAATATTTTCACACGGTCACACTGACTGTTTCTCACCTCGGGCTGCACGCTGCTGCTGGAGGAAGTCGGTAGCGTCTGTGTGGAGGTCAGCTGACCTGCAGGACGAGGAAGTGAAAGTATTTAAGTGCAGCTGTGTCAGCTGCATGATGTCATAATGAAGGAAACAGGTTTCGAAGATAAAGAAGCTCTTCTTCTTTCTATTTATGTAGAGGGAGGCAGAATATTCCTTCATTTTACTCGTTTAATGTGATAAAAGTCTGTTTCTCCTTTTGCTGGCGACCCCCTACAACCCACTCAGGACCCCCTCTGGTCCCCGGACCCCAGTTT